TTTTTCGAACGAATTGGATACTGGAGGAGCTAGAACATAGGTTTCCAACGTGAGCAATGAAAAGGTCTGGGGGACGCTCTAGTTATCTCATTTTCTATATTTTCGATCTAACTTTTTAGTATTCAAAGATTACACGTACACTTGGAAATAGAGATACAGTGACTCACACGTGCGTTCACAGACTTCTGAAACACCAATTAGGTATCGAAACTTTTCTACAATTTCTATTTCTGGACCGTAGAGTCAGAATGTATTAAGTCACACTTTTCACACTTTAGAGGAGAGCAAGTCAAAGGTGCGAAAACCTTGTAACTCTGGAACCGTTCGGTAAGAATTGAGCGAGAAAGAATCACTATCTACGAACAATTGAATGGATTTAAGACTAGTTTGTACATGTAAAAATGGTGAACATTGCATTAATTCCCCTATGTGATAAACTTCACACATATGGGAATCCTAAGAGAAGTCCAGTGGTATTATCTAAATGATCTAAAATAAGTTAAATCAATTCTGTTAGATAGGCATATAAAATTTGTAAAAAGAAGCCCAGGCATGAAAAATCCGCCATGTTTTCCACGCTCCGATTCGTCGTCGTTCTCCACGAGGGGCAAGCGAGTTCCCAGTAAATACGAGACGTAACGCACGACCTTTGACCTCCCTCCGTTCAGCCCCCTCCCGAACGACGAGCGAATGTTCTCTTCTGGTCATTGGTTGTCTCGTATCCGACTCCAATTTGCAATTTATGAGTTCGCTGTCGCTGTTTTACGGCGCTGAGGACTCGTCTACGGCCGACAACGACGACGACATTCAATGCTTGGCAACACTTTAATACCGATGTGACGACACGTCTTTATTATTATTATTCTTCCGTTACTTCTTTGTCGTTGCGGCTTTTTATCGATCAATCCGGAAGAATTATATCCGCGAACCGCATAAATTTCCAAACGGGACAAACGCGTTGAACGTCACTCTCTTCGTGGGTATAGACAAAAAATCATGCTAGTATTAACGTTCCACGTTTCCATCGTCTTCTTTGTCGGGGAAACTCCATAAAGACCCAAGAATGAAATATGTAAAAGAAAATATAAAAAAATTTGCAACAGCACATGATAACAAACTAGAGATACATACTAATGAACTGGTTAAGAACTTAACATAAAGTTCAAGAGTCAGCAGATTGGATTAACCCTTTAAGGCCGAGATCCTTGAATCGTTATTTTAAAGTTATGAGACTGACATATATATCTTGTTATTTTTAAGTCAAAAATATCAATATGAAACCAATTCATTTATTTTTAATTTTCTATTTATTTTTCGTGGGAATACTTGAATTTTTCAACTGGAAATGTTGAGATCTACTGCTCATCAGTAAAACCACGGATCCTTTCTGACAAAAGTTAAACAATAACCTGCGACAGAATATGACGCATTTTTTAAATGATTGTTGCACCACTGGAAGTTAAGGAGTTAATGTAAAAAATATACAAAAATCGGGATTTGATTTAAGCTTCTAATATCATGATTTGTAATAAATTCTGGCACCTGTATTAGACGGGGCATCGAGCGCAAAAATTTATGGCTCCAGGGATCGGTTTTACCGTGCTCCTACTTGTTTCGGAGTATCCTGTAAAACACTTTACGGGCCCTCATTACGGCCACCTCGGTCGGGTCGAATTTTCAGGTGAGCCGCTTGCGGACAGGTATACAACCAGGATCGTTTACCTGGGTTTCGAGGACAACCCTCAGGATCGGTATTATTTCTCCGTGTCGTAAATCGTTTCTCCGGAGGATCGGGACGGTGTAATACCCTCAGAGAAGGGGGTTGGGGGGGGGCGCCAGTAAAAATAATGGAGGGACAACGGTTCCGTTGCACGCAACAATGTCGGACATCGCTAAGCTGCGTGGTATTTTTGTGTGGTACCATAGTAATGCCTGACGGAAACAGACTGAAATACTAATATTATAATAAGATCGAAATATTGTAGCGAATTGCATCCCGATTTTAATTATCAGATAGATAATTAACTTTTACGTAATATGTGTAGCCGTATCGCGCGAATGACACCGCGAGGCTTTATCGACACGTCGGCAAAGATAATTCAAACCCCCCCCCTCCCATATGGTTGCAAACACGGTGACACTCTCTTGTACCGAGACTCTACCTTGATCCGTTAACCCCGCGTCAAAGAACCTGCTTATTAAGTTTTCTTGCACGGCTTCGCTAGTCTCTATCGGTAGTAGTCGCTTCGCGACATCCACGTGCACCTTATTTACGTATTATACGGCACAGATTCCGATTATCGCGATTATATAGTACACACACGCGTCACTCGTGCGATGAGTCTTCATATATTGCGGAGAACCGTGTCCGGAAACGAAGAAATCGGTCGAGCGGTGGAAGGGACCCCCATTATCGTCGGTACATGTTTACGTGACATGGTAGTAATCTGAAATTATTGATAAATATAATAACGAGCTATTGCGATAATGCTCGTTTCTATCGCGATCTAACAAACACGGATTGAATTCTTATTTTAGTTGTCTTTGGATCTTGTTTTTGGTAAAAATAAACCTAGGAATTGGGCCTCTTCAGTGCTCAGAAAGGAATAGTTTCGATTGATTATGGTTGCAGAGTGCTATTATATCTTGAGGAAGTCACCATATTATACTTTCAGTAATATCACTCTTTAATTCCTACGAAAATTGTATACAGAGGTTGACAGAAGTTGTTGCCTTTGGGTCGATTTAATTTCGACCGTCGGTTCATTTCACGCGATACGCATGATTAATCGAAACGGTCCGAATTGTAATTAATGATTCACAGGTGTAATTATGTAGACGCTGTATGCTATATTTAGACTCATTTAGATAATATTATAGTGCGTTACGGTAAAGGTTTTACGTAAGCAGAACGGGAAACGATCGGTGCGAGAATGTGTGCGCTAATTTGGCTGTGACTGGGATCGAAGCAGATCGGGATAAACCATTGATCGTCTCGTCGATTGTTCATTCACAATTTCATTATTTACTTAAAAGCGAAATATTAAAAAATCATTTTATATCTTGAAATTAAACGTCATACACGCTGCGAATAGCGTACGATTAAGCGTGCTAGACACGTCCATTCGCTGCATCAACAAACCAAGCATTGTTTCCTAAGTGCTTTTTAATCTTCTTCTGTGAAACGAGAAGCTTAAACTCTGAAGAACATAATTGCATAATCTTCAACTAGACGAATCTATTTACAAAGTGGCAGTATCCAAAGAGGATTATGATTTCTGAGATTACTACTGTGAACTACCGAATCGATACCTTCTTAGAAATGAAATTAATTGCAGTCTTCGAACTCAATTTGGCTCTGAAAATTACGATTTCTTCTTAAACTCCGCAGGTTTGTAGGGGACTTCAATAGAAGCATCGGGTAATTTTTCTTTTTTGCTGCTGTTCGGTTCTTCAGAGTGAAAACTTTTCCTATATTCCTGTATATCTTGAAAACTATAGTAAAAACACTTAGAATACAAATCTAATGACTTTTTATGCTCTTTAAACCTGTATGATAAAATGTTTAAGAATCTGTTTTTTAAATTAATAAATAAACAAATAAATTTTGAACAATTTTGTTACACAGTTGTATAGACCATGGAAAGCCATTAACTTTTTTAGCAACAGTTTTTGATATCTACTACAGTTTTCAAGACACAGGAAAATTTAAAGAGTGGTTTCACCCAATATCAGCAAAAACGAAAAATTGCCCGATGTTTGTATCGAGGTCCCCTACTGACCTACGAAGTTTTAACAAAAATCAGAATTTTTTGACTACTTACATGAACAATTTGTGTCTGTTGCTGTCCAGGTAAAAGTTACACATTTTCGTAACTCATATTAGCCCAGGCGTTGCCCAACGAATTCCTGTCTAACACTTATTTGAATAGTGGACAAGGATTAATCCATAGACCCAGTCGATCAACATACGATCGTTAAATTCTTTTCACATAGCCATCAGGATCGTGTGTGTGCGTGCAACGCACTGTGCACAATTATTATCATATCTTGATGACGAGGTGATTTACGTCCCGGGTCTGTCTATACTTATGTAAGAAAGGACGAAAAAGAGTGGAAAGTTTGTCAGTGCACGGTTTGTGCCAGCACACCGATGTAATTTCTCGCGGTTACGTCAGAGGAAACCTGTAAGTTTTTGTGAAATGTCCTGTGGCTCACGAGGAACGAGGCCCCTGCCCCACAGGTGGTCGAGAATACAAATTTTAGCTGCTCCGTACGATTATTTAATAGCTTGAGGGGCAAATCGAAAGGTACGAAACTTGTTATATTTTTATTTCAATCGAAGTGAAGAAATGAACAAAAATCTTTATCAATTTTACATCTTCATGAAAGTCTGAACTGTTACAGAATTTTTTTCTTTTTTTTTCATTGAGATTGACGATACGGAGGGGTTTAAAGATAATGCATGAAATAAATCTTCCATAGTAAATAAGTTGATGTGAGTTTCTTTTAGAAGATAACAAAAATTTGTTTTCGACGACTGGAGCTACCAACAAACGATTTTGGACCATCGTGCGCCCGGTAGTTTTGTTCTGTTCGCTTCACCCCTGTACGCGCGCAACCAAATTGGCTTGGAGGGGCCACGGTGACACGTTGCAGGGTTACAGGGGCCACGTAACGTGTCGCTTTAATTACGGCGCGGGCATCGTTACAGATCCACTCAATGGATTCGCGTTGTCACTTGAATTGATAACACCCAAGTATTCAGTACAGGCTGTTTCATAATATTTATGATCCACCTGGACGGTAGACAGAATACAAGAGTGTTCAATGAAAAAAGTTACGTGTGAACAAGTACATATTCCATTGGATAGACATTGTTTATCATTGAAATGGGTTCCACACAATGTTTAACAGCCTGTATAATTAGTTACGAAGAGTTTAAGAGTTGAAGATCAAGGAAAGCATTTTTTTTTTTAATCGTCTGTCGACAATTGCAGGTGCTGGGAAGGCAACAGTACATTGTACGACCGATGGTAATGGACGAGAGCTGTACGCCTGGAACCGGTAGCGACAATCCGGCGGTTGCCGGAAGTAGCGGAGTGATCAGCGAGGCGGCACTGACTCATGCTCCGACGTTAACTGAAAAAACCGTACGGGAACACGGGATTCCCCTGGAACAGGCCATCGAGCAGGTAATCGGCCCCATTATTTCTCGACCTTTACAAACGAGTATTCGATGTATTCAAACTAATTGTTCTTTGAATGTGTTTATACTCGGTAAGAACCGATAAGGGACTAGTAGCTGTTATCGTATAAAAACCGAGATAAGCGTTCATAAATTCAGGTATTCCATATGAGAGTCTCGAAAATGCGAAAACGTTGCTTTCCTTAACCCTTTGTGTACCGTGGCCGCATGTAAAAAATGTCGTCATCGGATAATATTTCACTGCATAAAATTTCGATATTTAGGGTATATGTCCCAATTACTGCCATTTTATTTATTATACCTAATAAAAATATAACGTATAGAGAATTGTATACGACGAATTTTATTATTAAATTGGGACTCCGATTTATATACAAAACAAAGAAATACATGTACGTACATACATGGTATTTACAAATTAATGTTGAAAAATGAAAGTGCAAGTTGAGCGTTAAAAACGTATATACGAATTACTTTGATTTTTGAGACGACAGTTATAGGGACTATTGAGATTGCTCGCAGATTTGAACGAATTATTAATTAATTTTTCATATTTAATCTATAAAACTATTATTTTTTTTTTAGATTAAACAATATGTACGGAAAACGATTAAATGAATTTACCCTACAGTGTTAAGGTAGTAGTATAATTGAGACATCTACCCCACTTTATTTTGCTTTGCACGCAGTCATGTATGCGATAAATGGATAACGTCCACAGTGGAGAGTGAACGTTCACGATAAGCATTCAGTTTCCATTGTACTCCACACTCAAAGGGTTAAGTACAGAGGACTCGAGCAGTAACGTGTAAAGAAATTTCTTTTTAACGAAAGTTCGAGGCATGGTGGTCGTCGATGTCCTGTGTGACGTCCGGTACCGCGCCGCGTTTCGTCGTAGACGGACAGGCGCCGTTGAGACAATGTCTGCACCCGGAGGCTTGTAACAAAGACATCGAGTTGCCGGAACCGTACAACCTCTTTCACGATCTCCGCAAGGAATTCGTCGCCTGTTATTCCACACACGGGGAGCTCTCGACCTTTGGAATACAGGAGATGTTGGAATGTATCCTTTTTTTCAAAATCGCATTAAAGAGAGTCAATACGTCTCTCTACAGAGTTCCATTGTGTTCCCTTACAAGCAAAGAATATCTGTTATCTGTGATCATTAATTTCCGAACAGTCGATTATTTTTATCCTTATACCTCTGTTTTTTTCTATTTATCCCTGATATTTCCCCATTTGATCTCCGTTACATCTCTCAACCCCACTCACCCAATGTCCAATAAATACACCGCATATTACCCACCGCGTGTGCCCTCTATGAACAGACCACAGTTCATACGTAGAGTGGGAGGAACGCACATGAAGGGGCCCCCCGTTTTTCCACGTTCGTAAAAATACAAAGCAAAAAAGAACCGCCGTACAAGTTTTGAATATCGTGAATACACGTCGTTTGGTTGCCAGCCCGTGGCCAAATTAAATATTTGTTTCGCTTGTATCCGTCACGTAATGCCTCTCGGTGGATCAAAGTCGAAGCTTCGGTTTTTGATAGCACCACGCGATCGCCTTAAGGCGGCGACGACGACGCTATGCTCCGCACGAGAATCGAGAATTCCAAGGCGTGCGGCCGTTAGGCGGCGCGACAGAAGTCGAATCCCCAACGTACATATTCGACGAACCCGACGACGTCTGGGCCGCTGCTGGTGCAAAGTCAGTCTGCAGCAGAGCCGAGGGTGTGCGTTATATCGTCGTAATTACGCTCTTAACGGTCGTGTGCACGGTACGGGCTCTCTACGCATTTCCTATTCGCATCGTGTGAGTTTTCGAAACGATTTTTTTTATTTCTGGAAAGTAGACTGATGAGTCAGTGAGAGTGTGCAATTATTCCCGTTCCTTTCGACAACAAGTATCCTGAAATCTGGTCGTGTTTGGAAACGCATTACAACAAACACACGATTCTCTGAGGTATGTTTTTCCTTATTCCCAACATGTATACACACATACGTATCCAAGGATCCTGTGGTCTGGACCAGTTTTATTTTGTTTCGTGTTCTCCTATGGAAAATGCCATATTTTATAAGATGATCTGTGTTGATCGAGAAATGCATTCAAAAAAGAAAGACTCGAGATGGAAATTTCTTTCCTCGCGAAGTTCCGATGCATCATGGCTTGTTCCTCTCTTTTTTTTCGCCTTGTCGTGTGTTATCATCGTACCCAGTCATTCGTGCGTGTGTGTGCATTACCGCGCAAAGATTTCGTACATCCTTACATAAATATGTCTCTTAACCGACACGGCTGTCGCGAGTTCAAGGTCTTGAAGAATCCATTTATAAATAATAACGTAAATAATATATTAAATTCAAGAAGAATACATAGAAATACTTATTCTTATACGTTTGAACTGCACGGTCTAACTGTAATTGAATGACGCGGGTAAAACTGAGTAGGGTTCCGAACAGCACGCGAGTGTCGAATATCAACAGGTCAGGAACGACTTCATCTTAGACCTTATTGGGCGCACAAGGCTGGGTTCCATCGACTACAAGCAAGTTTTCAATCTTGTCAATATTTCGAAATAAATACAAATAAGTGGTTATAAAGTTTAGGAAGTAGTGACTCAAAGAAAATGTCTATATGTAGACGTCTCTGCAGTTTCCTTTGAAGGAAGAGGGGAATATTTGTTTTGCATCTGTGTATACACACAGTCTCTCTGTGTTCCTTTTACATTCTTTCGCATTTGCATGAAAGGTGTAGGGGAATCGTAGGTGAGATTCACTCGAAAAGGGGAAACGGTCCGGTAGAAAATGCAAATGGGCTACCTGTCCGTGGATATAATCCAACCACGGCATTAAGTTCGTGTCGAGGATACGGTATTATAATCGCTTGATTTTCTATGCTCCCGGTTAAGCGCGTGTGTTTGTCGCCCCGCGTATCTGCCGTTAATAAAACAAAACCACCTGTGGCCGCGCCGTGATACAGTCCTCGCACAAATATCGATCGATGTCGGGTGCGTTGCGTGAAGAAGTTATATTACCGTTGAGGCATTCGGTCGTGTGAATCGTGGTGTGTGTGTGTGCGCGCGTGTATGTACTTTTGGTAAACTTATCTCGACTATAATTGGGATCCTGAATTTTGCAAAAGGTCACGGATTATTATATTACCGTTGAGGCATTCGGTCGTGTGAATCGTGGTGTGTGTGTGTGTGCGCGTGTACGTACTTTTGGTAAACTTATCTCGACTATAATTGGGATCCTGAATTTTGCAAAAGGTCACGGATTACAGCTGTAAGTCTCGAATCTTATGATTAGTGTCGCGTCGAAATTTCGATTTAAGGTTAAGGGGTTCTTCTGGCTTGAAAATCAACGAACATTAAATTTCTTCAATTCTACATGTGTATTCCTCGTAAAATATGTTAAAATACGTAGATGACCCGGAAGTGGCATAACGGTGTGGGATGCGATATCCTCAATTTCTTAGGCGTTTCATCCTTGTTGAAGTCTCCGCGGTCATTGTAAACAAACCATGAATAATGCATGGGGGACACTACATAGATGTCTCTTCTTTACTCGAAATATATCATGGCCACTATTATGTCCGGCCGATAAATGTACAATTGTTTCGAAGTTTTCTTGATAACAGAGGGGATAACGTAGGAGAGAATCCGGACGAAATCGAAATGTACGCGACACCAATATCAGTCGAGTGACTTAAGAAAGTCCCACCGAGTGGGCAACGCGCGGTCTTATCATCCGCGGAATATGGTTTAAAGGTCAACTTGGTAGAGATATTGGTAACAGCTTGACAACCAAACGAGATATACGGATAATTATGCGCGTAACGAGTTCGTTCGATTTCTTGGCGTTTTCAGCTGTTCCATTCTGGACACACGAATCGAACATTCCTTTAATAATAATTGCTCTGTATTTAACGAATTTGGCTTACGATTAATTTGAACATGGAAATGATTTTTATTCGTTCTGAAAACTATGAATATGTACTTGTGATGCTTCCCGTCTTGGGCTTAGTTTTACAACGATAAAAAGTTTGTATTAAATTGACTGCAACTGATTTCAAATTGATTTCAGGCTGATAATAAGTCTTGATAATGTTTAGACTCATTCGATATCTCTCGGCACATCTCTTATGTAAATGGCACTGATTGTGAAAGTCCCAGTCGCATTTCTTTTTATTCTTTTACCCCGTATCCGACAATCGATCACGAACAGAAATTTATCCTTGACTATCGACGATCAGATTTCGGTTTATCGTCGGACACCGAGAACGATTATCACGTGAAAGAAATACAGGACATGATTAGCGTGATACAAAGGATGATCAAAGATGGTAAGTTATGCCTTGACAGATGTCACGAATTTCCTTCGTGGCTGCAATGAGTAATAAGAGAAAAAGAACAAAAAATTTATATCTAATCTGCTCTTTCGGCCGATAAGAGATAGTCTTTTGTAATTTGTGTCTGGCGAAAGAAAAAGATAGTCTTTATATTTCTGTGTGGATCGAAGCACCGCGATTCACTTTGATCATAACCTTTCCGCTGGGTTACAATCAGTATTTCATTAAACGCAATTCGGACTCTAATCGTGATCGTTTCGAATCCCTATTACACGCTTAACAGTGAAGTATATTGATGTGGACTTGGAAGTTGTTCCAATCCTGTTCCGAGGTTCGTTTCAACCGGCACGTGGCCAGACTATGAATCTTTCCTTTTTCAGCCATAATACGCAAGGTCACGTGACTTTCAAGGCAATATTTTTCGTAGAAGCAACAGTTCTCTCTGTACAGGCTGTTCCCGGATTTTCACATCGAATCACGATAATATTCTCTAGGAGTAAAAATTTGATTTAATTTAAGCTACATTGACGGTTCATTAATAAAAATAATAAGTCCGGGTACAGTTACTTATATATACGTCTTTAAAATAGTGTCGCTACTTATTCCGCTGTCATTCGTATTCTATTTTACAGTTATCATAAAACAGCGAAAGATTAATATACCCGTCGCAAAGTCTTCCCGGGAACATAAAATTCAAAACAGGTCTATTCGAGTAGAAACCGTTAAATACATATGTGCTGCCATCGCTCAAAAATGTGGAAGTTTCAGTGAAATAAAGATTCGTCGTTCCGTTTGCATGCCGATAATATTAACCGTGATCCTCGTATTTTTGTTCTCTTCGTGTTCAAGCTCGCTACAATCGAAAGTTTTCGCACGAAACCATTTTCGTTCGGGCAATGATACGAATCTTTCGTATACATATACGCACGCGAGTAAAGAAAGGCGAGCTAGAGCGAACACGGAGGAGACAAAATGTCAGAATAAGAGAACGGAGAAAGAGAGGGTGAATGGTTGTCTGTCTCGCGGGCCCGTGTGCACGGTCCCTTTCTGCGTGTTCATGGTTTATGAGCGCGCGGGTCAAGCTGTGTAATGTTATAAGCAGTGGTAGTTATAATATACTCCTTATCACAGCGGTGCTCAACCGGTAATCGGTTTGATTTTAAATTACAAGTCAGTCCAAAGAATTTAAATATGTGTAATAACGTTTTCGAAACGGTTGGTCTATTTAATGTTCGGTCGAACAATCGTTGAAGAACTCACAAAACTTGAACGGTCTCATAACTATATGTATGTGTATATGTATATACGTATATGTATGTAACGTGTTTCGATCGGAAGAAAACGAAACGTGACAATCCTAGGAAAGGTGTGCTGACACGTTGCATTGAGTTGGCAAATTCGAGCGCATTTCGCTAAGCCACGAGAAATTAGAGACAAACCATTGGTATTCGGTTACACAGCAAACTCCTAAGCGTTAGAGTCCAGAGGCACCGGAACGACGGTTACATTTTTCGCGGGAGAATTGAGATTCGTATAGAGAAAAAATCACGAAAAGAATCGTGTGAAACTTCAGATCCAACAAGAGATGATCTGATCGATTCATGGTTGTTGATGTAGGAAGCTTGTTAACTTTCTCTTGACACTACAAATCCATGTTGCCGCACATACAGCAGACGTATGTTGAGTCAGAGGAAGCGAGGTTACACATAGTACATATGTACACCTGTCACCTTGCTTCACCTGTCAGAAGTACTACTGATGGATATAAGTTTTTAATGAAGTACGGACAGTTTACAACAGGATATATAAAAAATATAATTCGTAAGGAATGCGTCGTCGTTCACGATACCGATTGTTTTTGAAATTTGATTGAAAACTTATATACATACGTATATGAAAAATATTTCTGACATACTAAATTAAAGTTTCTTCTCTGACATTTATAATAATATAAATGGATACTGTAAAAATAAATGTATTAATTGCGCAATTTAATTATCAATGCAATCATAATAATTATTTATGATATTATTTTAGGTCACGTCTTCCAAACTCCTGAAGTAGTTAACATTATTTTAGAACCTGGCATATGGTGAGTTATTGTTGTTTCCTTAGTTAGGTTCCTAGAATGAGTCTGCCAAGGTTTGAGTGATTTAGTAATACTTCTTTTGCTTTTTATAGCTCAAAAGATGAAGAAGTGGACAATGGCTGTGTAGTAAGAGCACGTGGTCTTCCTTGGCAATCATCAGACCAGGATATAGCAAAATTTTTTCGCGGCTTAAATGTTGCCAAGTAAGTGAAGTTCTTCTATTCACACTTTAGAAATTACCTAAGACTGATTGTAATGTGTGTATTTGTGTCCAAGCCACTCGGATGCATTTAAAAAAGGTAAACATCTACATCTGCTGCATCAGTATGTTTGTGTCGCTAATAATGTGTCAAACCATGCTGAATGAATGTGCAAAGTTTAATAAGGTGGTTGTGTTTACCTTTGGACAAGGTAGTAAACAACTTTTAAAAACATTTGCTTGTTTATGTCTTATGCAATGATAAGTACTATCTGGGGTCATGGATCTTGTCCTGTAACTTTACCAACGAATTTTGTGATCGTTGTGGTGGTAACATACGTAATTGCAACTTCTTTCAAATGTCTGATGTTTAAGAACCATAAAATGCTCCATTGTACTCTCTTGCAATTTGATTAAAAAAAATATTATTTGCATTACAGGGGTGGTGTAGCTCTGTGTTTGAGTCCTATGGGAAGACGAAACGGAGAAGCTTTGGTACGATTTGTTAATAAAGAACACAGAGATATGGCACTAAAGAGACACAAACATCACATGGGAGGACGGTATATCGAAGTTTACAAGGCCTCTGGCGAGGACTTTGTCGGTGTTGCCGGCGGAACAAGTGGCGAGGCTCATGCATTTTTGTCAAGAGGAGCTCAAGTAATTGTTAGAATGCGAGGCCTGCCGTACGACTGTGTCGCTAAGCAAGTGGTGAGCACCGAAACTGCAAAAAATCCTACTGTGTATTTCTCAACAGATTTTGTGTCTTCATTTTATTCATATCGGATTTTTGTTCACAGTTGGACTTCTTTTTGTCGGGGCAGAAGCCCTGCCACGTGTTGGACGGGGAGGACGGTGTTCTGTTCGTGAAGAAACCAGATGGCAGGGCAACGGGAGACGCTTTCGTTCTTTTTGCAAAAGAGGAGGACGCCGTGAAGGCTTTGAGCAAGCACAGAGATTGTATTGGTAGCCGGTACATCGAACTTTTTCGAAGTACCATCGCCGAGGTGCAACAGGTGCGTGCTGGATTAAAGACCATGCGGGTACAGAAGAATGGTCGATGTAGGACCGTAGTGAAAATAACCGTGTACATTTGCATGTATCGATTTTGTGACTTGGTAGGTCTTGAACAGGGCGATCGACCCGAAACAGGTCGTACTTCCAACACCACCCATTCCGCAGCTTTCCGCGATACTTCCCCAGCATATAATCACATCTGGTACGCGTAAGGATTGCGTACGGTTGCGTGGCCTTCCGTACGAGGCACTCGTGGAGCACATTCTTGAGTTCATGGGGGAGCATTCTAAGAATATTGTCTACCAAGGTGTTCATATGGTTTATAACGCTCAAGTAAGTGTACACACCCCCCTCCCACTTCTTCTCAATCATCTACTCATAAATCGCAAAAGTACACAGGAAAAAACCACGTGAATTCTCCTTCGTTCAGGGCCAGCCGTCCGGCGAAGCGTTCATTCAGATGGACAGCGAGAGTTCTGCGTTTGCGTGCGCCTCCCAACGGCATCACCGGTACATGATCTACGGGAAGAAGCAACGGTACATCGAAGTCTTTCAGTGCAGCGGGGACGATATGAATCTGGTATTGACAGGTGCGGTAACACCGCCGTCGACCAAGGCTCTGCTATCACCCGGTACGTTGACCACACAAACCCCCACCACATTGACACATCCACCGCCGCCGACGCCGGTACCGGTCCCGGTACCGTCGGCGCAGCCTCCCCTCTGGGACATTCACGCGTTAGTACAGGCTCAGGCGCAAGCACAGGCGCAGGCTCAAGCCCAGGCCCAGGCCCAGGCGCAGGCGATCCGTAACCAGGACTTTTGGCTGATGGCCCTGGCCTCGAATCCACCGCCCACCTCTACCACTCCCGCCTCTCCGACCTCGTCGATCTCGAAAACACTGGCCCTACCCGGGCCGAATCCTCAGCATCAGATTCCCGCTTACGCGATGTCTCCTCCACTAGCCGCAGCCGCTCTCCACGCTCAACCACCGGGTCCCGCCCCGTTTCTGCTCTTCAATATGCCCTCGAGAATTCCGATTCTAAGGGCTCCAACGCCTCACAGTCTTCTCGCTCCTCTCGTTCAAGCTCCCATCAATCCAGCCGCGATTATGGGATTGAAACGAACCTGGGAATCTGCGTTCCCTCCAGACGGACCAGGCGCTGTCGCGAAACGCGCCACGTGGCACACACCGGCGACCGCGTTCGCCCAGACTCCGGCTGCCGCGCCAGGCTTGCCTTATCCTGCTCAATTTTACCCCCAGATCTAGAAAACGGATCGATAGGTCACAAACGGATTAGATCGATTGACCACGATGCTTCTCTCATTTTAACGCATGTTTATGCATATTTTTTCCACGGTGTTGCGTGTTACGACAACCGACCTGAACATCGTATTATCTTTAGATTCTTCTCACGGGGACACGTTTCTCGGAAATGTCTGTTTGAAGTCTCAGGCTAATTAGACACTCTGTGCTTCGTCACTCTGTGAGAGAGAGAGAGGGTTGTTGTTGTATTGGTACAACGTATGATTCACCTGTCTACAAGTGTGTACACCGGTATATATACTACATAATTCTATTCGTAGTAGTTATCTGCAAACATTCCGCATACTATTATTTGGATGTCTTTTGTCCTTGAACCTTCTTCACCTTAGACTCGGTGTATGCACGATGTTCCATCTGACTTTCTCAGCTGAAGCGATTCTATTATACTTGCGTGTACTTGGTACTTTTTTTTTGTAATGACCATTCGTGTCTAGATGTTTCAGTGTGAGATTTCCATTGACAGTAGGCAACGTTGAAGTATAGAATCGACTTTGTGCATTGGGGTTGGAGTCCATTTGACCGGAATAGTTTCGTTGAAAATGATATATCATTGGACAGAGAAATTCTGTTGGAACATTTGCTGAGTAAGAACACGTTTCGCGTGATGAGGTCACGCGGTACATACTCGTGTTGCATACAGTCGGTCTTTTCATACTAGTTTTCCCATTTTGATACTTATTATCGAGCAGCAGTACTTAGTGCGTTTTACGTTGTTACAGTTTTTTTACGTAATCGTTATTCCAAGGTTTTTCGACGATCGTGTAACGCCTTTTAATAGAGAAATTGTTATATCTTCTTTTTCCTTCTCGTCGAGCAACAAACAAGTGCCTTAAACTCGAGCAAGGTCTCTTTTAATTTAGGTTTCTTTCTTCTCTTTTTTTTTTCTTTCGGAGATTTCGTGATTTATATGAATATGTACATATATACTACTGAATTCTATATAAATATATATATTATACAAAGTATCTAAGACGCGAAAACATATTATATATAAATATATATATATAAGAATGATTTGTATATTTTGCTAGAAATATTTTTATTAGCGAATAAGCAATGGACATTCCATCCACAATGTTATCGAGTTTTTATGCTCCAATCCACACGGAGGGGGTAGCTTCTCTCCGTCTATTACGCGGCATCTATTTTACGCATATATTCGAGAACATACAGTAACGGGAGCCTTAATCGATTTATAAGTTCGGCTACTGGAAGCTAGATGCTTTCAGGAACCCACGACCAACTTCACAGATCCATCTCTAAGACCCACCATATTCCTAAAGTAGCGTAATTCGAAATAAATTTACGACGAATAGTCGTACCCAAAATTGGAAAAAACACCATAATCTACATGCTAACATATTAATAATGTCTTTCATGAATATTCGACGGGTAGAGCACAAAACACTATCACCACTTGGATATGTGTACGAGGGGTTTGACGTAACGATAAAACGTTTAGGATGATGGTTCAGACCTTGCAAACTCGGCTCCGATTTTAAGATCAAATATGTAGAAAATTCGTAGCATCGTTCTCGAATTACTTGTGTACGAAATTCAAATTTTCATCGTCATCGTTGGATTCTCAAAACGTCATCATCCCCCAAATACGGTATGGCGGTGATTAATATTCATCCATCCAGCCCCTTTCACGTGGTCGATGTGCAACTGGAGAAGAGGCAGGTCGAGGGGCCAACATTTGAGAGTACGGGTGTGTAACCTCGTTGAAAGTTCGTCCATGCAAACGTCCACCATACACTGCCCATAACCGCGAAGAGCTTTTACGATCTCGCGATCGTTTGGCCTTTCAACCTTCCGACTGTGTGTACAGGGCGATTTAGGGGATGGTCTTCTTAATTTAGGGGCTGTAGCCCTCTTAATTTAGGGGGTATCCCTCTTAATTTAGGTGGTAGTCCTCTTAATTTAGTGGATAGTCCTCCTAATTTAGTGGATAATCTTCTTAATTTAGGAAGTAGTTCTCTTTAGGTCTTCCGAAAATGGTGAAATAGATCAAAGTTAACAGAAAATCTGTTCCATCGAAAACAAGTGTCTGTTGAGAAAATGGCGTCCACATTGGAAACTACGGTGCCTTTCGCGAGGACGTCGAAGACACACATCTTCTATCAAGTAATCTATTTCTTGAACGCCCTGTTTACACACAGTTTCGTTTGTACGCTCGATCTGTTGGTGTTACCGCATTGGTAGCGCGAAGTGCTATCGGTGATCATACAATTTCTTCTTGCCACGTGCTTCATTCCTTTTTTTTATATTATATATATATACACATACATATACACACGTATATGTATATATACATATATACGTGCAGCAATAACGGGGACACGAGTGTGACCGAAGAAACGCACGACGATCGTTATTGCCTTCGGGAAAGTCCAAAGTCCACGGGTATAGAAATGACTGGTTTGCATGTATGTCGGTGGTTTTGTGGAGGGACGTGCATACAAGTACCTGTATTGATCTTTTTTCGTTACCTATAATCGTTCGTGACCGGCAGACGATTTCATAACGCGTTAATTTTGTTTCTCTCCTGTACCCTCCCACTTTTTCCAGCGTGTATAAGTATCAGGGCTAGCGTGTATGGAACGTCGCTTTCGGGCAATCAAACATGGCCTTGCATAAGTATCGTAGAAACGTTATACTTAAGGGCCTGTAGCGCCTAAGAATTAGGTTAGATCGGTTATTTATGACTCGTTGAACACTTTTGGCTTTTGCACCATCAGTGCTCTGATTTATCGAGGCAGTTCCTGGTCATTAGGCCAGAGTAACTTTCACCGGTTCGGTTAGAAATCACTCGTCGTTAAGGAAACAGTAACAAAATAGCTTACATAAGAAGCGGTTAACAAAAAACCTCGTGGATTGAACGAAAACACCGTTTCACGTGCAACGACCCTAATATATTCGTTGTAATGTTAAATCGTCCCGTTTTCTCGACTCCCAAATGGCTCTTCCTCTCATCTGCTCACCCACTCTTATCTCCTCATATCCACACCGGATATGTCCTGTAATAATCTTCTCGTACTATTACGCGTGATCCTGTACAATCTCGCACACAAGCCTTTCCCCTCTGTTTGACAGGATTCGGTAGCGTATCACATAGGGACGAAGTAGTAGTACCTTGGTGTATACCCTAGTCCTGTTTTGTTAAAAAATGACGGCGCGAAGTGACCGGGGCTCTCGGTGGGCTTGAAATCCAATTACAAATTTGTGAACAATGTTCCACTATTCTAACGTTCTCATTCTGTAACAGATAGATTTACGGTGAATCGCGATTTTCCTTTTGCCGGTTTCTCGGTTCTTTCAAAACACTGTCTCGACGTACAAAATGGCGGAGCGCGCGCGTCGATGGCCCGGGGATACTTCGCAGCCCGATCTTGCAGCTGTAACTCGAGGATTGGGTATATTGCCCGCCGATATTACGTTCACATCGGGATTGTGCTTCCTGAGTCGGCTTCAGCCTAGCATATTAATATAGACACCCTAGAAACTAGATATTAGCGGAGGCGATGCGAAACGTGGATCCGTTGTTGGGGGGCTCGACCATTCGGTCCCCCTCGTTTCATGTCGCCTCCGTGGGGGCGCATCCTGGTGAGTCTTCGAACGTAAGATAAATGTATCGCTCGAGGGCGTCAAGAAGTCCACGTGGCAACCTCGATCATCAGCCATGAAATATCCATGGAAAATGGATCATCAGTAAACTATCGAGGATCGAGGACTTCTCGACGACCTTGGTCAACGCGCTGATTCCTCTTTTTTTTAAATACGGTAGAGCTCCATCTGTCGGGACGCGGAAATAAGATGACTTAAGACGAGGTGTTGACGTACGTCAGAAGTTTGAGGGCATTCCCTTAATTTCTGGTTTGCGTGTCTAGAGAATAATTTGTTAGATTTGTATACTATTTAACGCAAAGATGGTCTTTGGCGTCGCGTATTCAATCAGATCGATGGAGCTCTATCGCACTGTTATCATATAGTCGACTGCGGCCTGTACGGTAAAGATGCGCCTTCTCAATGGACGAGATTACGCATTGAACGGACGACGTTATTCGTTAATGGACCGAGCGACCTAGTTACTCTTTATCCGTGTTTGAACATTATAAACGCGGTAAAACATACCCGTACGAGAGTTTCTCCGTCTTCGAATTCTTTCTTAGACTCTGTGCGGATACTGCATTTACGCAGTAGTGGGTGCAGCTATTGTATAGAACGTACTAGACTGCGGATTATACTGTTGCTAGTTAGTTACAATGTAGTGAGTAATATTATTTAGTTGTGGACGTTTAATCCCAGATAGAACATGACGCCCAATGACGCCTTGAAGACGGCTTAAAGGCGCCGTAGACCTAAAATAGCCGTAAAATCGGCGTCTTCGAAGTGTCATGTGTTATGTGGGATAAAAATACGGGAGATTTTGTGTGGACTAACTTACGGTAAATTGGGGATCAAGCGCAGGAATACGCGTTTCGCGGTAGGGTTCTATCATATTCCAAGTAAAATAAACATCTTCATCGAGCTTCACTAAAACTGCAGATCAATTTCTTTACTCGAGTAATACCTTTAATACGTGAAATCTGTAGTCTAGTTGGGTAGCCGTCATCATCACTGTCGCCCGATCACATGGACGCGTAAGGTCGTTCGACTGTGTACTACCTGGCATTAGCTTTCGCTGGGCACTCACACACACGAGCCGTATTATACACGTATCCCGCAGGCTGCGAAGGGAGCACTGATCTGTATAACATGAATACGGGATGGGGACTTTTAAGCATAGCATGCTGAATTTTGAAGGTACGCCATCTTTGAGAATAAATCACCTCCGTCGCCTGTATACCTGAACAGTAACTAACGCTTTTATTCACATGTATGACTATTCGCGCGCTTTACGCTTTAAGAACTTGTTACAAGCAACATTGAGGATGATTGGC